AAGGCAGGCTCCGGAGGGGCGGGGTCGCCAGGTGCAGGGCCGGGCTCGGGTCTGCTCGGACCCCAGCGGCCTTTGCCCTGGTGTGGGTCTTGGGCAGACGCTTCTCACACACCCGCCCCGGCTGCATCTGCCCCGCTCAGGAGGGGTCCCAGTCGGCAGGGTGGCCGCAGGGCCCACTGAGAGGGAGGAGCAGGTGCCTCCACCCCGTTTCACAGGCAGGTAGGCTGAGGCCTCGGTTCCCCGGGAGCCCGCAAGAGCCCATGGTTCAGACAAGGGCCCGTCATTGCCACGGGCAGCAAGCACGGCCCAGGGAGGCCAGGTGGCCTGCCCAGAGCCCAATGGCCAGAGCGAGGCTGACCTGGGGCGTTACCGTTCTGAGCAGCTCCCCGAGGCCCCCTCTTCAGCAAACCCCTCTGTCGCCCTGGGCAGGGCGTGAGGCGGGCCAGAGGCCGAGGCCACCCCAGCCCCTCACTCAGCTGAGACAGCAGCGTGTCAGCCACACCGAGGGCCCAGAGCTGCTTGGGGTCTGGGGGAGGGGGACTGGAGGGACTCAGCCTGCGGCTGCCTCAAGCAGGCCATCCACCTGCGGCGGGAGGGAGCCGGCCAGGCCTCGGAGACACCTGGCCTGGAGCAGCGAGGAAGGTGCGGCGACCCTCAGAGGCACCGCAGGGGTGGGGGGGGTGGGAGCTGCTGGGAGGACTCCAGGCCCAGGTGCAGGGGCTGCCTTCCCGGGGCACCCATCCTGGGTCCTGGCCGCTGCTGCCCCCCCACCCATCCCGAGAGGAAAGGCACCGGCTTATGCCTTCTAACCTGGTGACAGTCTGGCTGGCCACATCCTTGCCCAGGAGGGCATGTGCGGTGCCCGGATTTTCATCCCCCCGCCGTCCCAAGGGCAACTGCCCGCTCCTCATGCCGGCTCGTTCAGGCTCAGGTGGGGACCCTCCTTGGGTCCCTGTCACGTTTGAGCCCCATGAGGTGCCTATGCTGGGATCTCAGGACACGAGAGGCGGATTTGAACCCGCAGCCCCAGGTCGGGGCGTGCGTGTGACCCGTATGAAGGGGAAGGCCTGGGCTGGGCAGGTGCCTCCGTGCCATGTCCACAGGGCTGGTGCGGGTGACGGGCCGAGCAGGCACGGGACTGGGCTTTGGGAGCCGCAGCAGTGATGCCCCGAGGCCGAGGGGCCAGCCGTTCTCAAGGCCGGACAGAGGCCAGCGGGGAGCCAGCGGGGGCAGGGCAGGTCCTGCAGCCCTGGCAGCGGGGAGAGAGGGGAGCCGCAGAGGATGCAGGGCTGGGAAATGGCTGGACAGTGGCTGCGACAGTTTAGGGGCCGAGGAACACCCGGGCAGACATGGCCAGGGCAGGGGCGTGGCCGGACCTCGTGCTCTGAGCAGAGGCAGGGTTGGAGCCCCTCGGCCATGGTGCCCCGGGGATGTCGAGGGCCGGTGCTGTGGGTGGCCCCAGGAGCGGGGTGGGTGCAGGCCCGAGCCGAAGGTGACCGGCCAGAGCCGAGGCGGGAGGAACCGACCCTCGAACAGACACAGCCGGAAAGGGCACATCCAGCCTGGCCCTCCGTGGCATCCACTGCCCCCGAGGGCCCGTGGCTCTCCATGGGTGGGTGGGTGGCCTCCCAGTGGGAGGCTGTCTCAGTCTCTCCCGAGCAAATCGCCAGCAAAGAGGGCTGGGCCACGCGGTGCCGGCACCAGGTGTGTGTGCAACCCTGGAAGGCTTTCAGGTGACAGGACCGAGGTCAGGCCCGACGCCCAGGGCGCCGGGAGAGGCCCCAGGAGCTCGCGTCACAGGGGTGGGGCGGCCAGGCCGGGCTGTGGAGGAGGAGGACGAGGGCCGAGCATCCAGCCGCACTCCCACCCTCCCTGTCTCT